GTTTTTCAAAGAATTTTTGCTAAGTGAAACATAGAGCACCTTTTAATGCCAAATAGGCATTAATGTTTCCAACGGTTATTCAGTCTTACAGACTTGTGGTATAAGCCCATGTAATTCATCTGCTTGAAAAACGACCACATTCAAAGGTGGGGACGCCCATTATGTAACATAGGGGAGCATTATAATCATCCATACTACAGTCATGGTTAACTTTCAGGTTTTTTCCTGGAAAGCATTTAAAGATGTGTTTGAAAAGTGACAAAAGTGGTTGTGTGAGGGGGTTCAGCCACAGTCCAACCATCCAATAAGGACTTTGTCTGAAGCCTAATGAGGTCTTATACCATCTCTGAGGAAGATGTGCCGCTTTTTTAAGCAAAGCCAAGGGTTTCCCCAGAAAACCTACAGCCTACATAGTGTCTGTAATTACTGTAAATACACTGTAAGCATGTTCTCTAAACATCACTCAAACCAACTCCTCTCTGACTGTACAAATTGTTCGTCAGGACTGTTTGTTTTAAGTTTCACAGTAAAGACTATCACTCTTGATCCCTGTTTGCTCTTCACATGCCGAGCTGTGTACCATCACAAGACTGTTTTACTTTTAGTAAAGTGTGTGTACACACTTGTACTCATCATTTCACTGCATAAATCTTTCAGGCCATCAGTTATTTAGAGAGTGTCACCTTAACACACCTTACCAGAAGGTACTACACTTTAACGACTCTCAAATGAAGGCCATGAGACAACAGGGAGGGAAAAACCCACAGAAGGATTGATGAGTGGGCACAAAAACAACAGTCCAATGTTTTAATATCATTATAACCTGGCCTTTGAACACCTGAATAAATTTGAGCAACCACCCTTCCTTATGCTTGATCTTCTGTTAGTCAACGAGACACTTACACGCACTCACACACATTGTGATTTTTAACGGCAGGTTTCCTGGGCAGTGCAGCGCTTCAGTTATGTAAACTGGCCCAGGTTCGGAGCAAGTCAACCGTCAGGACTTTGCATCCTCACCAAGCTCCTGCAGCTGCTAATGTAAACAAGAAGCTTTCACTTCTTCACAGCCGCCTGACAGAGTTAATGGTAGACTCAAATTCAGAAATAAAAATTAACGGCCTCATCCTAATAAAAAAAATGTTGAGATTAAAATCTATGAGATTTAAACGCTAGACAGTGTTTAACACAACTTTTAACGAGTTTTAAGAGTTTAAATACTTGACACCTCTTGTATGAGCGAAGAAACATCCTCAAGAAACTCAAGTCCAGTCGCCTGTCTACACTTCTACAACTCCTCAAGATATATTTGACTGATTATTGATGTTTTTTTAGAAAATTGCATTTTTGACTTTGTACGATTATACAATCAGTTTATTACATTAATTTACTGCTCATGTAACATTGACAACCAGTTACATCCTGATGCAGAATTCTTCAACAAAACATTGTAACCATGAGGAATGTCCTCAGTCTCAATGTAACTGATATTCATCAAGCTCTTATTTCTATCTGTCCCGAAAGACACCTGTAGCCTGCACACACACAGCCACCAAATAGTTAAAGTCGAGTGTTCAAATTCAAATGTCTCATTTGTTTATCTTTGTTTGGAGAGAGCCGTTTCTCACTGGCACAGCCAGAACTACATGTGAGACGTAAAGTGTAGAGCCCTTCATTTGCCTTGGCTGCTGTCCGGCTCTCTAGGGAAGCTGTCCCAGCCTCCAGTTGTCATTTGCGTCTCCACACTGCACTGTGATGGAGGCCTCTCATGATGGCATCAATGCATGGCTCCAGAGCCCTTGGCCTTGGAGGCCCTGACATGTGCTCTGTGATGCTAAACCCAAGTACACTTCAGGAGGAAGCTGTGGGGCCACACTAGCATCACAAATTCCACATATAGGAATTCAGGACTTTGAGGTGAATGCTTAAGTGGCCACATGGAAGCACAAAGGGTAGAAAAAACAAAACGTGAAATTCTTAAAATATATATTTTAACTCTAAGATAACTTTTAATTATAATTTGAATAAACAATTTCTGCTGTACTGGTAATTTTTGTATATACAATATGCAATGTCTATATACTGTGTAAATAATGTATATGTGTGTAATGTGAAGTTGATATTGTGAATGTGTCTGTTATTTATACAACCAGCTGCTATAGAGCACATTAGCATTAATCTGGAGTTGTAAAAGACATATTAACTGTAAAAGACATTTGTGTTGTGTTTCAGCTGTTAAATGCTGCACTTTGTTGACAAGCTGACAGTTCACTTTGTGTGTCTGCTGTTTAGTGCTGAATAGGTTTGTGTACAGATTACAGGTTAATTAGCGCTCGATCATGTTGTCGGCCACAAAATCAAAACAAAGAGCTGAAATATGTTTAAAGAAATGTCCTGCAGAGCTCAGGGGAGCTGTAGAGTGGGGTGGTTATTCTGCCTGGGTTCATCACTACAAGAGTCATCTCACACATGAGTAATACAAAAATAATGAAAAGGAAATAAAACAAGAAAAGGATAATACGATTTGTATTCATTGACAGTCCACATATTGTTTTTAGAAACAGTGAATTAACTTTTCAAGTCACACATCGCGATCCGTGCTCTGAAATCTACACCCGTTTATAGAACATTTTTTAAACACACATGTTGACAATGAGTTCACCTTTCAGCTGCATGAGCTATATTTTTTATCCACCAGCACAAACACTAAGATGAAAGGCTCATGAACAAATATTAGACAGTAGAAGCGGCACAGATGCCAAATCATGATGCATAAGCAAACTATGGCAACTATGAACCTGAACTGCAGTAACAACAGGGACCTGAGAAAGAACTCGCCACTAATTGTTCATTACCGTGAAGCATACGAAGCCGTCTTAGCTCAAGGGTGAGGTCCACTACATATCTATCACATCCGTCATCCGTCAGATGCTGAAGTGGAATATCCATACAAACACATTATTACAATTAGGTGGATCAAAGCGCTTAGTGAAGTACTCCTCGTGTTTACATCGTGGCTTAAGAACACAACTCAAACTTACTATGTGAAACTGGTGAAATCTGAATTTATGCCATGTGAACCAAATGCAATAATTTAAATAAAAAAGATAAGCTGCCTCTTGATTTGTTGAACAACACGTTGTCCTTAATCCAGTTAGTTGCACTTTTTACAGCATGTGTATAGTTGATTTTGCAATTTCTTATTGTCTTTTTATTTGTTGTTGCATTGATTCCTTGTCATCACATCAAATCCAAATTGTGTGTGACAGTCAAAAACTAAACTGTTTCAAGTTTACAACAATGTAAATGTCATATAAGAAGCTGAAGCTATTGAATCTTTTGCAGTTTTTCTTTTATAAATTACTTTAAAAAAGGTTCAAAACTGCTGGTTACAGGGTGTCAGGTAGCTTTGCGTGGCCTCTACACACTGATTGTGATGATGCAGTTTTTCACTGAGCAACACGAGGACAAATACGTGCTGCGTTTATCCAAATAAAAAGTGAACGACAATCATTTGAAAAATAATTTATAAAACATGAAAAAAACCTGTCAT